TTCTTGTGGAGAATTCTGGAATGAAGAGTATGAAGATCTAGTTTTCAATGACTTGGTCACTGTCCTTGGTATTGTGCATGACCGTCGATTTAACCTTGGGCCTTTGGTCGACCACTATGCCGAAAAACAGTTCAACTTCCCGTTTGCTACTCCATGTCTGATTCGAAGCTATTGCCGCCTTCTTCAAGCGACACCGGATTCACAGCAATCTCGTAACCTTCGTGCTGCCTTCAAAGTTGGACGACATATTCTAAAATTCATCATTAACGCCAGGGAACAACAGAAAGCAAAGGAGGAAGGCATCGGCATCACAAAGGTTCAATCGACCTTCGACCGAGATTTACATTTCATCTTTAAGTCTGTGGAAGCTCTCATGCAAAACCCTGCTCCTATACTGGTCGGCAGCAAGACTCTGGTTGTACAGCATTTCCATACATGGTTGCCCGAACTTTCAAATGCGCTGACCAAGGAAGAGATCATTAATATTGCTGTGAGCTTCATGGATTCTTGCGAGGATGTCCAGAGCATGCTTATCCTTTATAGATTGGTTTTGATCATTAACTATATCCGGCTTCCCCTGTTCGAGAGCCCAAAAGACAGAGAAGCGTTATTCTCTCACTGTGTCGACTGGCTCTCTCCATACTGGGGACGGACAGACGATGCTACTGACCAGTATCGAGACCAGGTTCGACTCTGTTCGTCAATTGTAGCGGAGCAACTAAAGCATCCGTCCCCCGAAATGTACGCATACATGCCCAAGGCTGTAGCATCATATTGCGCTCTTGTTGCCGATGGTGTCGAGGGAACGAATTGGCTATCAATGCTGTTTAGCAAAACTTTCCCATTCCAACTCAAACAGTCCAATGTGACACAGAAATTCGAGGAGAGTCTTGTAGAACTTGCAGCCATTATTGCGTCGCTCGCAACAATACCCAATCCGACCCCGCTATCGTTGAAGGGCGATGACCTAGCCGTGTTCTTGTCACAGGCGCTCGAGACCCATAAATCCATCCTTAGCTGTGAAGCGTACCCTTCAACGTGGCTGAGTCTACATATTTATCATCACAGATCGACCATGAAAAGCTTAGAATATCTATTAACGATGCTGATCAGCTCTTTTCTTCCCACGCCAGATGACGCGGATAATTTTGACATGGAACTATGGAAATTATTTTTCGAGACTCTTCTGAAACTCGTCTCAAGTGACGCGCTCACCCTCGAGACATTCCCAGAGCAAAAGCGTCGAGCCGTGTGGAAAATTGCCGGTGATGTGCGCGAGCACGGTGCTGATTTGTTACGGAGAGCATGGGAAGCAATCGGTTGGGATACAACTTCGGAAGAACAAGAGCGCTATCTCGTGAAAAAGCTGGGCGGGTACCAAGTTCAATATGTCCCTAGCCTCGTTTGTCCTATTATCGAACTCTGCCTCAGTGTCCATGAAGGTCTCCGGCATGTCGCCGTTATGATCCTGCAGACAATGATCGTTAGCGAATGGCAACTCAATGAAGATCTTTCATTCGTGGAAGCTGAGATAATCTCCAGTCTAGACCTGTTATTCAAAACAAAGAATGTCAGTGAGAGTGGGACTCAGAAACTGTTTATCAACGAGCTGCTGGACCTTTTTGAAATAAACTCTTCAAATCCGGATGCAGACCTCCTTGTGGCGTTGAAAGAACTCGTTGCAACTGTCGACGAATTGCTGGATCTTTTGGTTGCATCTCAAAATGGTAATATTACGGGGAGCCTCAATACCCTGAAGCTTATGGAGTTTATGAAAGACATGGAAAAGGAGGATATATTTATTCGATACGTGCACGAGCTTGCTCTTAGACAAATTGCGGCGCGTAATTACACTGAAGCAGGCCTTGCGCTTCAGTTCCACGCGGATCTTTATGACTGGGATATCTCCAAGCGGGTGCCTGCGCTGACGAACCCCATTTTCCAGGAACAGACGTCCTTTGAGCGGAAAGAGGCTTTGTATTTTGAAATCATTCAACATTTTGAGGATGGCAAAGCTTGGGCACATGCACTCTCTTGCTACCGGGAACTTGCACATAATTACGAGCACACCGTACTTGATTTCTCCAAACTTTCAAGAACCCAGGCATCGATGGCAAAGATTTACGATGCCATTGTCAAAGACAACAGTCAATCTAAAAGATATTTCCGTGTTACATTCAAGGGTCTTGGCTTTCCGGCTACCCTCAGGGATAAACAATATATTTTCGAAGGCTCTCCAACTGATAGGATGGCGACGTTTACTGACCGTATGCAAAAACAATACCCAGCCGCCCATATCGTGTCTTCGGATGATATAGACGATCTTGAGGGACAATTCTTGCGAATTTCTGCTGTCAGTGTACAAAAAGATATGACTCACCCTGTCTACCAGCGATCTAAGGTGCCCTATTCAGTCCGAGAACATTTGCTATCCTCAGTGCCTTCCCAATTTTCAATAACCTCCAAACGACACATCAGTGGAAATGATGTGAAGGAACAATGGGTCGTCAAAACTGTTTTCACAACAGCTGAACCCTTCCCGAATATACTTCGGAGAAGTGAAATCATCTCGGCGGAGGAAATTGCCCTTACCCCTCTCCAAACAGCAATTGAGCGAACCTGGCTCAAAACCCAGGAGCTCATGATACTTGAGAGGCAAGCCTCGTCTGGGGAGGACTTCAATTTGACAGGCTTAACAGAAGTTCTAAGCCGCCTTCTTGATCTTGAGTCATCTCCTTCAAGCTGTGTTGCGCTTTATCGACAATTTATAGTAGACGAGAGTAAAGCCTATATGAATTTAGAAGATGGTGGGACTGAGGAGCAGGCTCCACACCCCGCCAATCCTCTGAACAATGCAATGGCTGTTGCTTTGATCGATCACACTCTTGCACTGAAACGTTGCCTCGCATTGTACAATCGTCCTGCTTACCGAGCTACTCAGGCGGAACTTAGCAGCCGTTTCCAGGTCGTGTTTGCCCCAGAGGTTGCCTCTCTTACTCCTGTCTTCAGTGCTCCTGAAAGTGGAGAACCACTTAGCCTTCTTAGCAGTCGCCCTGAACCGCTAATTGCTCCTCGACCACAGCCTTTAACCCAACCCCGTTCCACCAGCCCCGAACAGGAACTCATCCGCGGTACGCGTCGGTTTGAAACCCCTTCCGCTACTAACAAATCCCACGAGAAAACCATCACCACGCACCGGATCAGTCTGAATCCTTTCAAACGTTCCAACCATTCCGCCACTAACTCAAACTCTACAATCACTGCCTCTACCATTAACGAGGCACGACGGCAATCCGAATCTAAGCTGAACGGCACCCACACATCGCGCCCGTCGACTGCAAAAACGGAGGCCACGGACACCGTATCCGTCGGACTCAGCCGCTCTGCTAGCCGTCGGTCACGCAATAGGAACCGCGACTCCGGGTCAAAGCGACGTAGCTGGTTTGGTGGTGGCAGTGGAATCGATGTGCGCAAGAATAGCTTATCGGTCTCTGCGCCTGCGACTTCTACTGAAGATATTCGCACAACACAGCAACGGATAACAGAACGTGCGCGATCCTCTCGATCACAAGATGAGCAAAATGGCAATATTGCCCCCCAGCCCTCTAATGCGGAGAACAACGACAACGTTGGTGTCAGTAACAGCATTAGCAATGCCGCTACAAAAGTGAGCCAACTTACTCGAGCGGTATCGAATGCAGGGCCGTGGAACCAAGAGCAGCAACAATAATAAAAACAATTCTACAACCGCGAGTGCGAGTTCCAATAATAACGGTCGCCTGGTCACGTCGGAACGGCTTGTTACAAAAGTGACAATGCCGGCGCCGACGACTATGACTACGACGGGTCAAAATAACAATAGCAAGCATACCGTTTATAATTCCCACGGAGCGAATGTTGGCGCCATGGTGACAGCAGATGTTGCCGCTGCTGCATCTGTTGCTGATAGTAACGGTGGTGGTGGAGTTCGAGATTCAATGATGAAACGACTCAGCATGTTGAAAGTTGGGAGGAAGACGAGTCGATATAATGTGCGGGATGGGGTTAGGGCCGGGGAGATGTTGCGAGAGGAGTGAATGGACGGAGACATCATTTTTTAATAATTTATATTGGGCATATACGTATAATTTTTCACGAGATGAGTGTTTCTTCTCTTCTCTTCTCTTGTTTGAATTTTTTGTTCAAAGGTACTTGGTTGCCTCGCTTACCCCTTTTTCTTTTTCGACTACTTATACTTATATTCATCTCCTTGATTCCCATATATTTTGTTTTTATTGCTATGCTGGATATATGAAGATTGTACGAGGACAAACCCCGCCCCGACTTGCATGATGCGGTTACAAGATGGGCGGTTTTTTTTTTCATCCTTTCTTTTTCATTTGGATTATATATCTTAGCCTCCTTCCATTCAATTCCACTACAATCGGCTTTGGCTTCGTGATATCTTTATATAATCTGTTTTCGTGGCCTGAATATACACCAGACGGAAGTATATCGGTTAGACAGTTTTCTTAGTTTTCACCCTGACAGTATCTGCGTTTAAACTACCTAGCCCACTTCTCTCTTTCCCTCCTCAATCTCTAGCCCTATTTATTTTCATTATAATCATCCCCATACTTCCCATGGTGTGAGAGTTGATTTTGGTTTTGCTCTCTTTCACCTAATCGTTATTTGGTATGTGCTAACGCAGACTAGTTTGGGTTAAAATTCAAACTTGATCCATTGATCTTCGCATTGGTTTTTGGTGCATGTTAAAAAGTAAATTTACTGCAAGTGCTGCATTGCGAATACACAAGAAACAGAGTGGTTAAATATTACCACTCTGATTTTCCTTTGATTAAAAGGGGAATTGCAATCCAAAGACTACTTGGTGCTAACTACCATACCTCTAGCACGCGGGTGGAATTAGCAACCAAAAAGTAAAATAAATACATAATGAGCTGCAATGCAGCAATTAATGTAGTCAAATGGAACATGGCATGTGCATGTGTGTTGGAAGAGAGGAAAGGAAATATGCAGGCAAGCACAAGGAATGGGATGATGCAAAATATGTCCATGAAATGAAATAAAGAACCCACAACATCACCATCATCAATTGTACCGTGGAGACACTCACCACTTACTCAATCACGGGATTGATGTAATTCAAGTCACACGCATGCGGGTTCTGG